GTATCTATAGTGCTTTTTGTATGCATGCTTAGGTAACATTAAGCAGTCTTTGGCTCTTTTCTGCTGTAACAATGGAAAGGGATTCTGGTGCAGGTAGGGGCTAGGGATTTGCATTTGGTTTAGTTTAAACAACATTTCTTCTACTTAGTCTCATGGTAGTTGCTATATTTTCTTTTTGAAATGTATTAAAACAAGTTTGTTGAGAGTGAGTCACACTACACGGTACAGATTCAAATAATACTGTTTTAATAAATCTTCAAGTATAAAATAATAAATATTATTACGACAGAGGTGGATGATTTGTTTGCTATTTCAAAGTGTCTAATTAAATGTTTACAATATGTTCACTTTGCTATTTACCTTAAAACAGGAAACCATTTCTCTAAATACATTTCCATCTTGAGTTGTAGTTTCTCTTTTATATTTTCCACACGGTTTACCCCCTAAATTGTTGCTATACATTCTAATGTACTGTTCCTCAGCAGGTTGGAAACCATTTAAAGGAAGTCAATATGTGTGTGGTCGATTTGCGTTTGCTTGTCATGTAGATTAGAAACATGATTGCAGTGTTATAGGAAAGAGGCAGTTGGGTGAGAGTGGGCTTCGGCATTTTCCAGACCCTCAACCAAAATCAATGCATATCAAGTGATCCCTTCAACCCCCGTAATTGAATGTAATAATATTCTTTGAAATAATCAAAACTAGAAGGGCACTCTTGAGAAGGCAGACCTTGAACAGCGCTTGAGAGAAAAATAATGCAATATAATAATAATAATAATAATAATAATAGGTTCTTCTTCCTCGGCCGTAGGGCTGTAGTTTTTTCTCGTACACGGCTGCCAAACAAAGACACACATCGAAAAAAAAACTAACCTTCTAGGCAGAGTAAACAATCTGCTAGTTGGGTTAGATAATGTCACAATGATTTAATGATAAGAACCTTGCTTTTCTTGTGTACAAATATAAAAAATGTTTGCTAATATTCACAGCCGATTTAGATCTTAATAGCTGCTAATTCAACATATTGAATGATCTGGTCAAATATGTGACTTGAATAGGGAAATCCCAGCCAAACCGCGTAGCCTATGGAAACAATATGATTGGAAAGTTCATTTGCTGTGAGTGTCACATTTTGAGGTATTCTCCCATAAAGTGAACCATCCTCTGGAGCTCATTTCCTCCATAAAAGGCTTGTCTCGGGGTAACATTTTAAAAGCACTTTAATGTATTCATGGCTTGCCTCAAAGTGCTGAACAAGAAGATGCATCATTTATCAGATTTTCACAGCTGTCCAGATTTAACCGCAGAGAAGGTTGCAAAACGTAAACAGCAGATAGTTTGTTGAAATAGAGCTGGGCGATAATTCTATGAATTTGGCACTACTGCTGACCTTTTGATATCACAGCGCCAATGATAAAGTGTTCTTATTGGAAATATTAATTGCAGGTTAACTTGCCTTGTCAGAGTTTACAAAAATGTTGGTTTGGGCTCCAAGTGTTCTTTCTGTGCTGCCAATGTTCCAATCATTACTGATGAGGTTCAGTTCAAATGTGAGATGAACCAGCCATCCATTTCCCCCCTCTTTCTCTTCTGGATCCCAAGATGCTCTGATGGCACGAGGTATTTGTCAAAATCAATAACAGAATTTTGCAGCTTAATGTCCAATTAGCTTTCCAAGGTCCTTTTTGAATAGGCAGTTAGTCAACACTTGTCCAGCCTCCTGTCTTGTTTTACCTGTCCTTGGCATATGGGCCAATCAAAACTTGATGAAGCATCCAATCAACACACGGAGCCGGCCAACACTTAAGTGTCCATGTCATGGTGTGTATTAACTTGATTTATAATCCTTGGTGAGTGCGTCATGGGAAGCCACGAGGCCAAAAACACAGACGCACGCTCCTGGCCCTGGTCTTTATTAGCTTGGCTGCCTGCCTGAGGAAAGCATGGAGGAGGATTTGAACACTGAGCCTCACATGGTGGCATAACTTGCTATCATAGAAATACACGGTAACTGATCTGCTACTTCCTGTAATGCAATACAGTGATGCAGATACCTGGTTTTAGTTTCTACTCTCCTCTAAGGACTCTCTCACCATTAGGACTACAACTTACACATATTTAACTGTCAACTAATCTGCCAATTATGTCCTAGGCTAATTCTTTGTTCTATACATATGTGAAAATATCCATCCCAGTTCAGTGTTCCCCACATCATTTGATTCTATTTGTGGGGGCACCCCCCCCCCCGACAAAAAAAGTCAAAGGCCCCTTAACCTATTCGGGTGGCCCACGCATCTACCCCCCTCAAATAAGATAATACATGCAAGTTCATGGCTACTGTAGACAAGGTTCTTGTTGCTCTGTGTTATTTTAATTGTGTTGGCCCGCCACAATTAAAATAATGCATGAGAAACACTGCAGTTTACACAAAGCCAAGTTGATATCTTTAACTGTCTTGTTTTGTCAGTCAAAATCCCAAATATATTTAATTTTAAATCATATTTAAAAGGCTAAAAACTACATTTTTTGCCATTTTTGCATAGAATATTACTCTAACAATTATTCTCTTATCAAAATTGTATTGTATTGTCAATTGACTTGTCATTGTTCGTTTACTCATAATGTGGAGATTTAAAAAAGTTACAAACGGATGCAACAAAACACGCAGGAAGAGCTTTGCTGCTAGAAAGATTCTTGACCTGCTGCCATTTAGGTTCCTGGAAAACAATATATTCAAGCAGTTGTTGCTTTTAATACATACACCTTTATTAATACCATTGTTCCCTTTTGAGATATTTCAAGGTTAGTGAAAACGCAACGATTTCATACCCTCTGCAATACAAATAGCCAAATATTTTCACATTTTAGAGTGGAAGGAACCATGACAATGAACCAAAGTAACCAAAAACAATATCAGAAAAACTGTGCAGTATCATCACTGCCATCATCCAGGTCATATTCAGGTCATAGAGATGTTGTGAGTGGCTGACAGGCATGGAGAGAGAGAGATTGGCTGATGGACAGATAGGATAGCTGCCAGGTCTACAGACGATATGTAGAAGAAAATCATCCGATGTCAGTAGAAGCAGACAGAGATTGACACAGACATATAGACAGGAAATGCACTTTCCCAAGCTTGTCGATGCCACTTGAATAAGGGCTGTGTAGGAGGGAAAAACGCTCTGAAATTGAAAGAGCAGCACTAAAAGCTGGCCCTTTTTCTTTTTCTCGCCCGTGTCAATGAAAATTGGTTGAATTGGGTTAAAATTGTTTATTTCTAGTAGGGCTGCTCGATTATGGCAAAAATCATAATCTCAATTATTTGGATCAATAATTGATATCACGATTATTAAAAAACGATTATCCATTTACTTTGAAAACATCCATTTATTGAAAAAATAAATGTGAACAGTATGTTTTTAACAGTTGATTACCCTGAACTTTAAGTGAAACTCAACTGAAAAACCAATACAAAAAATTAAATAAAAATAAATTAATTTAATTTAATTAATTCAACCGTGTGGAGTTGCATTAGGTAACGCTGTGGTGGCTGTACTGCTTCAGCCGTCTCCTTTGTGTTTGTTTGTTTCCCCCTGTCTGTGTTGTTTGTGTATGCGTGGTGGCTGTCACTCCTGGCTCCCGGCTCAACCTCCACTCACCTGCTGCAATCAGCTGGTCACCCTCCCCGACTACACACCTGCTTTCCATCAAGCCATTTACAACGGCATATCAACGGAGGCTCCACAACCTTTCTCCGCCAGATCGTCAAGTATCAGCCGTATCTCGCGTCTCTCCTCCGGTACACAGCACCGTAGTGTGGAGTTGCATTAGGTAACGCGTGATACGGCTGATACTTGCGCATTAGTTTCTGTTATGGATCAGTATCAACAGTCCTGCCAGTAACGTTACTATATTATCAATACTACTTTAGTTATAGCCTGATATATGATTGCTAACTTTACAATGTTGTGATGTGACTGACGTTAGCTAACATGCTAACGCCGGTCACTCACCAAGACAGCTGCTCTGTTCTCCACTGGTTCTCCACACACCAAAGCTCCATTTCTCTCCGATGGCCGTTATTTTTTCGAATCCTTGGTTGCTCCTGGTCTCTTGGACGCCTAGCAGGCTCATAATTATAATCATATGCATTCGAATATATATTTTCAACCTCTTCTGTGTCAAAACTAGCATTGTGATCCATGTTTATTAATACGTTAGACCGGCCGCTCTCCCCTTGTTTCCCCCATGTTACGTCACACGCGGGAGGTCACGTGCGGAGGCTTTTTTATGCGGAAGTGAAAATGTCTTACGAAAACGACGCCAGATGTCACTGTAGTGTATATTTCTGTATATTTTTGGGAAAATCTAGTGTATTCATCATTTTCCTACACATTTATTCACAGGTGTCTCTAACCTGCAAGTTGCTCTTTAAGCCTACATTTGATTGGGTTCAGTTGACCTGTTTTTCACATCAATATGCAGAGATGTGGCAGTTAATTGATGAATTCGTAATGAATTGCTCTGCCCTGAGGTGCCACTTAATATAATATTGACAGAAAGCAAAGGTTGTAATTCAAACAAATGGCTTTATAAAGGAGCTCTTTCTACCTCAACAGTAAAGCTTTTAATGATTATGCCTCTACGAATCACCTGGGTCATTTGTCAAGAATATCCAACCACATGCAGCTACTTTCATTCTTCTTGATGATACTGTACACATATTGTTTGTTCTGCTGTGTATGTTTTTGTTGGTGCCTTGACTGATTTTAGTGGCACCATGACTGATTCCAGGGACAGCTGTTAAATCAAAAATCACATTACCCTAACATTCCTAATTGTAAGTCAATTTAAACTAAAATCATGTTGCAAATGTTAACTTCATCATCAACTCCATATTCTGAAGGTGAATCATGTGTGTGTGTCTGTGACGTTACACTTGTGTTTTGCTTACTCGTGAGACTTCACATCTTCTCATAATGTTGTCTTTGTTGTTTCAGATGATGAAGCATGCATGGGACAGCTACAGGCAGTACGGCTGGGGTCACAACGAGCTGAAGCCCCTCGCCAAGAAAGGACATTCCACAAATATCTTTGGTAAGCCAGACAGACTGTTGGCAGTTACATCACACATGGATGCATGCATATACAAACACACACTCAGTCTCTCACACATACTCACACTCAAGCGCCCCAGCCTTTTCCCTTGTGGACGAGGTTATGTGGTAATGCCTCTGGCAGGATGCATATCACTTTGGGAAGAGTGGTTGCGGACAGAAGCACACACTCACTGAAACCACAAGGAGAAAACTCACATTACTTGCATTACTGGTAGAAAATCAAATGTATATGATGTACTGGTAATATTTGACCTAGTAGAATGTTAGACTTTGCATTAGACAGCATGAGGACACACACTTTGTGAGGTCTTCTTCAAGGTCCAGTCATAAGGGAAATGACTGTTTGTAGAGAAAGGAACCTTGCCATTGGCAGCGCTCATTTCTCCCAACGAGAGGTCAGCCTCTCTTCATCTGTGATTTGTGTTTTTGGAGGCTGTTGGTTAGTATCCGCTGCTGCAGCTCCCATCTGTTAGTGCTGGTCACAAGACTAGGACTCCATTGTTGTGAGAATTAACAACCAACCGAGTAGGGCTGCACGATTTTGGGAAAAAAATCTAATTGCGATTTTTCGGACAAATATTTAGATTCGATTTGTGATATTTGTTTTTAAGCGACCCAACGTAAGTTTATTGTAAAATGCGGCCATAACTCCGGCTAGGAAGGTCGTATCAACGTGCTCCCGTCTCTAGCACCCCCGCAGCCCGAGCTACGAGTGAAAGAACTAAACTTACATGAAACTTCCGTTGGGTTGCTTTAAAGTCAAGCTTCAGTTTAAGATTCACCCTGTAATAGAAACATGTGATGGAGCATTACTAACCTGACTCAGATGGTTTGTTTCACCAGACCATCTAGGAAAGCTCCATTGGAAGCCATTTGGAAAGGGCAGGCACTTTCAAAAGCACTTGGCAGGTGATTGGATCAATCTGTCTATCACCTTCTATCATGGGCCACTTCTGATTGGTTAACAATGGCTGGTACATGTGGAGCACAGCACTTCTGATTGGTGTGGATGACTGACACACAAGAAGAAAAAAAAATTAAATTAAAATAGTAAAAAATAAATCAAATTAAAATAATGTTAAAAAAAAATGCAGGCTTTGCGATTTCATAATCGCATCATTTCAAATCGCCATTTCGATTTAAAATCGATTAATAGTTCAGCCCTAGTGTGCGCCAGAGTGTCTGTAAACACTTTCCAATCCAATGGTTTGTGAAAGTACTATTAAATGTGATACCTCTGCACACCAGCTCACACACACACAACAGACATACAGTACACTCACTGACAAGGCACTTCATTAGTCG